AAAAAAAAAAAAAAAAAGGAAAATGAAAGCGATCCTGACAGCAGTCCGGGCCTGTGAGAGGCTGTCAGGAACCATGGACGGAATCTCCCATATTGGTAACACACAGACTCAGATGCTGGGGGAAATAAGTTGCAAACTGGATGTGATTCTGACGAGAATTGCAGCTCAGCAGCGTGCCCATGAGATGTAGGATTACACCTGGGTGAAGTTTCAGCCGGAAAGAGGCGAGAAGGGGATGAAATTCGGAACATTCTGCATTTTTTTCACCATTTCAGAGATGCATTTAAGAAGCGGCAAGAAATTCGAGGCTGCTTGTCCCAAAACAATTGAGTTTATTTTTCGGATCCCAGCAGCTTCTGGCCTTGGTCGGTCGGCAGTTTAACAAATCTTCTCGGRATGGATATTTCAACAAAGGCTTGATTTTCCCACTCCCTATCCCCATATCATCCATGAGGATCAGTTTGAAGGCTGTGGTGATGGAGAAAGGGGAAATGCTGAACTCTGGGACTGAGCTTGGGAAGAGAAGATCTGGTCTCTGGACTCTGGCGGGTCCTGGTCTTGGATTGGTTCCAGCATGGAGTATTAACCTAAAACATCACCAGCTTCACTGAATCCTGCCCCAGTACCGAACTGCAATTTCGTTCTGCATTGCATCTCTGATGTTGTGTGTGAATGACAATAAAGCTGATTCTGATTCTTAAATTGGGGATATTCAACATGTTGGATTGTTTTGGCCCAATATCCCAGGCTGTGTAGTGTTCTCAGAGGACAAAGAAGCTTGCAGCCTGTTGAATGTGACGTGTAGCCAATCAGGAAGTGACGTGACAGAAATGCGGGGTGGGGGTGGGGGGGGGTGGTAATCTAATACAGAAGGCAAAACAACTGGCATGGAGCACCAGAAAATCCAAAAGTCTTTTTGTATTGTTTTTTTCTCTGTTTAAAACAGTCCACAAAAGTTATGTCCAAATTCAGCGCCTGCATCTTTCGAAGGCAGTCCAAATTCAGAGGCTACATCTTTCCAAGACTGTCCAAATTCAAGGSCTGCATCCTTCAAACCCGGTCCAAATTAAGGGTCTGCATCCTTCCAAGACTGTCCAAAATCAGGGGCTGCATCCTTCCAAGACTATCCAAATTCAAGGGCTGCATTCTTCCAAGACTGTCCAAAATCAGGGGCTGCATCCTTCCAAGACTGTCCAAATTTAAGGGCTGCATCTTTTAAAGATTGTCCAAATTTAGGGTCTGCATCCTTTGAAGATTGTCCAAATTTAGGGTCTGCATCCTTTGAAAGCTGTCCTAATTCAGGGGCTGCATCCTTCCAAGACTGTCCAAATTCAGGGGCTGCGTTCTTCAAAAACTATTGAAATTCAGGGGCTGCATCTTTCCAAGACTGTCCAAATTCAGGGGTTGCATCTTTCAAAGGCTGTCCAAATTCAGGGGTTGCATCTTTCAAAGGCTGTCCAAATTCAGGGGCTGCATCTTTCGAAGACTGTCCAAATTCAGGGGTTGCATCTTTCAAAGGCTGTCCAAATTCAGGGGCTGCATCTTTCGAAGACTGTCCAAATTCAGGGGCTGCATCTTTCAAAGGCTGTCCAAATTCAAGGGCTGCATCTTTTGAAGACTGTCCAAATTTCTGCATCCTTCGAATACTGTCCAAATTCAGAGGCTGCATGTTTCAAAGACTGTCCAAATTCAGGGTCTGCATCTTCTGAAGACTGTCCAAATTCAGGGTCTGCATCTTCTGAAAACTGTCCAAATTCAGGGTCTGCATCTTCTGAAAACTGTCCAAATTCAGGGTCTGCATCTTCTGAAGACTGTCCAAATTCAGGGGTTGCATCCCTCAAATGCTGTCTATATTCAAAGGCTCCTCCAATTGCAGTCCACAAATGTGTCTTCATTTTCCCCCGATTGGAGGATCCTTCTCGGCCTACCCTATCCCAAGTTGCCTTGCGGGCCGACCAGGAGATTTTTTTCCCTTGTGATGGTGGATGAACCAAGAAACAGGAGTACAGTTGTAAATAAAAATCTGGCGGTAATTTATTTTAAAAGTGGTTGTGTTAGACTTCTGCCATTTGCATATACATGGTTGTTTATATTATTCTTATCAGAAATCATTGTAATGCTTCTATGTTTTACCAATTCTTCATACATTGTAATTAAAAAAAGTAACCCCTGGCTCCAAGAAGAATGAAACTTAAGGACAAACTGACACTTAAGGTTGTGACTTGTGCTGAACAGTTTTTATGTCAAACTCTGATGGAAGTTTGCATAAAACTTTAGTTTCTGCACAGCCCACAGAGCTGCTGTATTATTTAATAAGTCAGTCCCACCCAGCAGGCCTGCTGCTCTCACTCTGTTGACTTACAGAGTTAATTGAGCAGCTCTGCCAGGACCACTGAAGTAGACTACTTAAAGCTGCAGTAAAACTAGAGCCCAATTTTCTATATTTAATCTGTTCAGCTCAGTGTGAGCACGCTGAAGGTCAGCACACCCCCCCCCCAAACACCCCGAGGACAAAACAGTTTGGCTGCACAAATGAGCAGCAGAAGCAACAAAAAGTCTGCAGATTATTAATGGCAGGATTATCAAACAGGAGGTAATACAGCAGTTATGGGACGAGGTATTAAAACGCAGAGATAATGGTTTCTGTGCCGAACAATAGCTCTGCCCCCAATTTAACACTCAGACATTATTCCTGCTCATCCCTGAGAGTGAAGACACCTCAGGCTGTTGGACGCCAGCTGAACCGGGCCGGGCCCAGAGCAAAAAAAAAAAAAAAAAATTCCTTCATTAAGAAGCAGTTCTGCCTCTGCTGAGTGACTCAAATTAAACACAGAGTGGTTTAATTGAACAGGAAGCTTCAGGAACAGATGGGGGACCAAACCAGAACACCTCCAACTGGTCTGGCTCTGATCTGAAACGAGTCATGAGAGACAACAGATCTGAACGGTAGGCGACCCCCTCAGAGCGGTCTAATTGGAGGTGTGCTGGGTTTGAGAGCTCACGTAGGACCCGCTGACAGGCTTCACCTCCTCCTCCTCTTCATCAGCTGGGAAAACAGATCAAAAGCCCCTAAAGAGACGTTTCATAAAAGGKCTTCTGTGGAAAAGTTTGAAATATTTTACCGGTTGTAGACGGCTTTCAAAGACCACGGTTTGGACGAGCTAATGGCTAACCTGATGGGGACCAAGACCTGAGTGAGTGCAAAAACTCCATGCAGGATTTTAAACCAGAATAACTCTGCAAAGCAAAGATTTGGTATCAGGTCTGCTCAGACTGGTCAGAGTGGACAAACTTCTGAAG